TCTCATCATGTCACGCCTGATTTAGGCAACTTGTCACTCTATTCTTATTACACTGGTCTGGATGAGATTCTAGTTGGCGATGGAACAGGTTTGCAAATCACACATATTGGTTCCACTAAACTGCATTCCTCGTCATCTTCCTTTCATTTTCACGATGTTTTATGTGCACCTGCCATCAAGCGCAAACTCATTTCTATTGCCAAACTTTGTCGTACTAATCCCATTTCGGTGGAATTTTTTGCTGATTGTTTTGTTGTGAAGGATCTTCGCACGGGGGCGCCGCTGCTGAAAGGGGCAAATAATGGCGATGTTTATGAGCTGCCCAGTGATGTGGACAATGTTCGTCTTGCTCTTGTAGCTACTCGTACAACTTATGCGTCCTGGCATGCATGTCTTGGTCATCCATCCACTCAAACTCTCCACAGTCTTCTTCGTTCCCAATCCTTGCCAGTATCGTCCTCCATTGTCAGTAGTCATTGTCATTCCTGTCTGTCTAATAAAAGTCACAAACTACCCTTTGCATGTCTTCTTTGACTAGTACCAGACCATTTGATTTATTGTATACGGATGTTTGGGGCCCGGCTCCGGTTACCTCTTTTGTTGATTTTCGTTATTATCTAATAATCGTTGATCATTTTTCCCGTTATACGTGGTATTATCCCTTGAAAAATAAATCTTATGTGCTCTCTGTGTTTCTTGATTTCCGTAAGATGGTAGAAAATTATTTTTCCACCACCATACGTCATTTTTATTCTAATGGTGGTGGTGAGTTTCAGAAATTATGCTCTACCCTTGTTCATCATGGCATTACTCATCTTCTCACCCCTCTGCATACCCCTGAGCATAATGGTCTGGCCGAGCGGAAGCATCGTCACCTTGTCGAAACTGGTATAACTCTTCTGCATCATGCTAATCTTCCTACCATGTTTTGGTCTTTTGCTTTTTCCGCCGCTGCCTACTTAATTAATCGCTTCCCATCCTCTGCATTGCGTGGCCAAATTCCTTACACAACTTTGATCAACCTTGCTCCTAATTATCATAAATTACGTGTGTTTGGTTGCCTTTGTTATCCTTGGTTACGTCCCTACTCTGCTCACAAATTGGACCCTCGTTCTCGTCCGTGCAATTTTATTGGGTACTGCCCTCAACGCAGTGCCTATAAATGCCTTGATCCTACTACTCGTCATATTTTTCTCTCCCGTCATGTCCACTTTGTTGAGCATTCCTTCCCTGGTTTTTTGGCTAACCAATCTGCAGATTCCCCATCAGTGGACTCATGGTTACACGACTTGGGCCCGACCATTGTTCATCTTCCACTCAATGGGCTCTCTCCATCTGCTTCCCCTTCATCAGCTACTGGGCCTCGGTGTGATGATTCTGCCACAGCCTCTCAATCAGCAGCTGGGTCGGCCTTCTCCTGATGCCCAGCTGGGCCTTCGCCTCTACTGTCTTCCGCGCATAGGTCTGCTGGGCATGCCTCCACTATTGAGCCTACGCCCCGTCCTGCTACGGCGACTAGGCCTGATGGGCTGTCTACCACAGGGCTTGAGATCTCCTCGCCCCGGCCCACCACCACACAACCTGTTGTGCCTCCCCCGGTTCTCCGTCCGCATCGGATGACTACACGGGCTCAGGCAGGGATCCATCGGCCCAAAAGGCTATTCCCTGCCCTCCACACCTCCTTGTCTCAACCCATTCCTCTTGAGCATCGGTCCGTCCAGGAAACAATGCGCTATCCTGAATGGGATGTCGCTCTGCGCAGGGAACATACAGCTTTGCTTCAGAACCATACATGGGATCTAATTCCGCGCCAGCCCCATATTAATGTCCTCGGTAATCGCTGGGTTTATCACATCAAGCATCACTCTGATGGGTCCATTAATCTCTATAAGACTCGTCTTGTGGCCAAAGGATTTCATCAACGTCCAGGGGTTGACTTTCAGGATACTTTCAGTCCTGTTGTCAAACCTGTTACCGTCCGTACTGTCTTCACCATTGCACTCACTCAGGGTTGGCCGATCAAGCAGTTTGATGTTAATAATGCCTTTCTTCAAGGCCCTCTTACTGAAGACGTATACATGGCCCAACCCCCTGGGTTTGTTGATCCTCAGCATCCTACCCATGTTTGCCGACTTCGTCGTGCGATATATGGTCTTCGCCAAGCTCCTCGTGCTTGGTACACTGCTCTCAGCACCTTCCTGCTTGAGTTTGGCTTTCAGAAGACGCAGTCTGGCGCCTCATTATTTGTGTATCACCACTCCGGTGTTATTCTCTATTTTTTGGTCTATGTTGATGACTTGCTACTCACTGCTAATGATGCCTCTACCATTGCCACATTTCAGCATGCCCTTGCCAGCCGTTTTTCGCTGAAAGAACTGGGTGATGTTGATTACTTCTTGGGCATTGAGGTGATCCCCACGACCACAGGATATGTTTTATCTCAACACAAGTATATGATTGATCTCCTCACTCGGTTTCATATGCTTGATGCCACACCAGTCTCTACTCCGCTCGCCTCTTCTGCCACTTTGACTCTACAGGATTGTACCTCTCCCACTGATTCTACTCGCTATCACCAGGTTTTAGGCGCATTGCATTATCTTGTGTATACTCGCCCTGACATCGCCTTCTCCGTGAATAAGCTCTCACAGTACATGCATGCCCCTAGCTCCTATCATTGGCAGTGTCTTAAATGACTTCTTCGGTATGTATTTGGCACGCTCTCTTTTGGCCTTGCCATCAGCCACACGAGTATCCCATTACGGCTCACCGCCTTTGCCGACTCTGATTGGGCGGGTAATTTGGATGATCGGACTTCCACTTCTGCGTATCTCTTATACTTGGGCTCCACCCTTATCTCTTTGAGGTCTCAAAAACAACGCACTGTTGCTCGCTCTAGCACTGAGGCTGAATATCGTGCTATTGCTCATGCTGCTGCTGAAGTGGAATGGGTGCACAATCTTTTGACAGAGCTTCATCAACCCTTATCTTCCTCGCCTACGCTCTTCTCCGACAATCTTGGCGCCACGAGCTTTAGTTCCAACCCAGTGTTTCATTCTCGGATGAAGCATTTGGCACTTGATTTTCACTTCGTTCGTCAACTGGTTCAAGATGGCCGCCTCATCGTTCGCTACATTCCCACCGCTCAGCAACTCGCTGATGTGCTCACTAAGCCACTGGCTGCACCGCGCTTTCTCCTTCTTCGGTCCAAGATTGGAGTCGTTGACACGACCTCCATCTTGCGGGGGCGTATTAGAGATAAAGAATTGTTTACCCATAAAAAAATCAGCTTGTACCACATCGATTAATTACAAGGGGATTAATGGATTTATAAGGCCAGCTCAACATTAATAATTAAAAGAGCAAGTTGGGCCTTGTTGGGTTGGATTTTTGGGCCTAAGTGGCCAAGCCCTTTCTTCCCTACATGATAGCCGACCCGTCTCCTTGGCCCCATAGCCGGACGATCCGTTTCACCCCTTGGTAGGAAATTTGGCCTCCAAACAAGGCGACACAACGGGGTGCCAAACGGTCGGGTACCAAGCCGTGTACCAAATAGGAGGCCATCCAAAAACTAAGTCTTGGAAACAAGGCAACACAATGGGGTGTCAAACGGCCGGGTACCAAAGCCTTGGAAACAAGGCGACACAACGGGGTGCCAAACGGCTGGGTACCAAGTCTGGTACCAAATAAGGGGGCCAAACAAGAGGGTATCAAGCCGACAAGGCAGTCCTGAGACCCAAGTAAGAAATTTGGCTAAGTTTGAAGCAAAAGGGGTATCAAGCCGACAAGGTAGGCTTGATACCAAAAGATATAAAAATTGGCTAAGTATGGAGCTAAGGGGGTACCAGGCGAGTACCAAGACCCCTACAAGGTACCAAGCCGGCATGACAGGCTTGGCAGCCAAGCAAGGCGACCTCGATACCAAGACCCCTACAAGGTACCAAGCCGACATGACAGGCTTGGCAGCCAAGCAAGGCGACAGGGTACCAGGACCCCAAGGGGGAGACAAAGTCCAAAGACGGGCTTGGTAGCACCTTCACGGGGTACCAAACCGGCAGGGTGCAACTTACCACTTGACGAGGCTACAAAAACTAAGTATGGAGACCAAGGCACCAGGACTGGCTTGGTAGCAAGGGGTGTCAAGTTGATTACATGGGCTTGGTGGCATGCCGGAAGGTATCAAGCAGATGAGACGGCTTGGTAACAACCAACAAGTTAATGAGGAGGACTTGGTGTCATGAGATGTTAGCGGTCTCAAGACGACAAGAGTGGGGAGCCATCAAGCAGCTGAGGGTGCGATCAAGACTTCATCATGGAGGCTAAGGAAAATAACCTCAACCCCATCCAGTCATGACAGGGCGACAAGGCTTAACACCAACCCGGCCCAACATCGAGACCATCAAGTACCAACCAGCCCCAAGACGGGATGAGACCCCCAAAGCGACGGTTACCAACTAGTCACCAAGGCAGCGACAAGCGGCCCCTAAGGTGGTTGGAGCAACAAGACGACTAGCAGTTACCAAGGCGGTTACCAAGGCAGTTACTCCTAATGGCTATAAATAGGAGAAACGAAGACGGGAAAAGGGTTCCACAACCAAACATTTGACACACTATGTCAAACTTTTATCTTTTTTCTGCAAATTAGCCCTAGCCTTAGTTTTCGGAGCTCTCACTGAACCTCCATAGGAGTAAATGTAATTAACTTAGCTTGTTTCCAAAAAACCATCAAAAACATCAAACACCCTCGTTCGAACATTGTTCGGAGAGGAGTGAACCGTGTTATTTATCGTTATTCGAGAAATCAAGGTGCATTCATTGCATTCAAACACAAGTTTTTCCTCGCCGGAAAACAAGAATAAAATTTATTCTCTTTATTTTATTATTTCCCCACACATGTATAACCACTCCTCCACTTCCTGTAACTTCTCATTAAAACTCTGAACTACTTCTCTGTATAACTCAATCTCAACATTATGCACTTAAACTACCCCGTTTATATGGCCACATAGATATATCGACAACATCACATAATTGTGGTGATCTCTGACTGCTAGAAGTTTAAATTATGCATTCTAACTACCAAACAAAAAAAAGAGCATGCAAATTTGCATGACTAAGGCCAATATAAGCATGCAAATATGTCAAGATTTGATCTTACACCATCTCAAAGAGAGATCAATCATGGCTGCCGAGAACGCCAACAGTGGCGATGCTGTCAACAACGGCAATAGTGCCGACGCCGCTGCCAAAAAAGCCGGCGCTGCTCCTCCACAACTAGTGTTCCGGTGTGCAGCGTGCCCTCGGGAATTCGATAATGCATGGGACCGCGCTATGCACGAGCGGGATGATCACCATCAGGGGTACTACGATTCCAATGTTTGGTGTAACATCTGCGGGGAGATTTTCAGCGATCTGTCCGGGGTGATTGCGCACCAACACCACTGCCACCTCGCCGAGGCTAGCTTACTCTGCCCCTGTCAGCGCCGCTTTCGTAGGTTTGAGGACGCGGCGCAGCACATGATTCGCCGTCACAGCGTAGTAGTTGTTCGTCGCAATTAGCTAGCTAGTGGGCCAGCCAAGTTAGGTTGTCCGGACGGGTTGTTAGCCTTAACTAATTTACTATTCTGTAGCTTGTCATTCATTCCATGTTTTTAATTTATTATGTATTGCTTTTCTGTTCTGTATTTCCCATAGTTTAGCAATGCAAGTAGCAAATCAAATCACAGAGTCGTCTCTTATTATGCATGTAATGCAATGTAATGTATATATATAGTTGCTATAGAAGTAGCTAGCCTAATTAAATTCCAGTTGCGGAGGCACCGTAGGCAGGATCCAAATCGGCGGTGGCATGCCTAGGTTTTGCGCCGGCGTGGGGACATAATGAGAGCTAATTTCTTTATCCTTGACGCTGAACACTCCCATATCATGACGTCCCAGCCCCAGGGGAAAAACCCAAGTGAAGTCGTAGGTGTAATATATTGAATCGGGCTTACAACCGCCACCACCGGCCGCCGATGCCAGGACCGCCGTCGAGTGATTATTATCCCCGACAAACACGGCGTCCCCTTGCAAATCCGCCACCTCCACAAACCGCAGCAGCCTGCTCGTCGTCTCTTGATGAAGCTTGAACACCTTGAAGTCTTTGGTGGTGATGCAAGACCTGTCGCCTAATCCCATCATCCTCTCGTCCAGCCGCACAACCATGAAGAGATCCCGGCCGTCGGATGACTCCACCAAGTATCTGTACGCGTCGACGCGGTTGAGAAGGCGATCCGGAAACCAAGGCGGGACCACCAACTCCAGCTCCAGTTCCAGGAGGGCGAGGTTGACACGTGCAAGCAGCCCGCTATCCCCGGTGGTGTAGATCATCGAGCCTCCTCCTCCTCCGTGGAATACGACGTCGCGTAGCAGTCCGAACATCAAGAGGTACATTGCGTCTCTGTAAGGGTTGTTGTCACGGCAACAATGATCGGCAGCCCAAGCCGTAACGTGTCTCCATTCTTTCTCCCCGGCTCTGACCACGGCCAAAGACCCATTCCCGCCGACAAGCGCGGCGGCCACGTAATCGTCGGGGAAGACGGAAGGATCGGCGGATAGCACCACCTTCTTGACCATGTAGTACGGGAAGCACGGGTCGGCGGGGAACTCGGGCAGGTTCCGGATTCGAGGATGGATTACGGCGGGGTCGGCGACGAACTCGGGCATGGTCTTGAATCGAGGGAGGCGGATTTGGGCGCGGGTGAAAGGGTTGTAGAGCGTGACGCTGTAGTCCAGTTCCGTGAAGGCGAGCCAGCCGTGGGAGGAGCCACAGCAGCTGATCCTGTGGTGGTGAGGGACGGGCAGGTTGAGGTTGGGGACGATGAGCTTGTTTCCCGCGGCGGCGGCAGCGCTGTACAGAGCTCGGCTCTCGCGGCTGCGGTCTTGGGTCGGGACCAGGAGGAGCGGCGGCTGGTTGTGGCCCGTGGCGATGCGGCCTCGATTGTCCGACTCAGCTGCCGACTTCCACGGCTTGCACACGGAGCTGAATCGGAGGTAGTCTTGTAGAGAGGGCACGCGAGTTAGCACCGAGTAGAGGACGTTCCACGGCAGCCCGGCCCAGTCCCTTCTTGTTGCTTCCTCCGACGTCATTCCGATGGATTGGATTCTCCTATTCTAATTCTATGCGGTCAGACCCCCTCGATCACCAACTTCTAACTATTTATATACGTAACGTACGTACGTAGAGATAAACCGCAATTCACCAAACCCGACTCGAATTCGGCTCCGGGCGGGCCGGGCCGGGCCCATCAGTAATAATATATAAAATAATAATCGGCGGATGCATGGTTGTTACGTTACGTATATTCTTTCTTCCTTATTGATTAATTATTCTCATTATCATTCATAATTGGGATAGGATTGGATTAGTCCGTAGCCCGTAGGGGTATTTGTCATGTATTATTAGGATTGATTAGTCTTGGAGTAGGCGGCGGCAAGTGGGAGTAGCCGAATAGGGTTAGGTTTAGTTCAGGGTTTAAGCCCTGCCCTATAAATAAATATGCATTTACGAAGTTTATTCTATTCACTATATGAAGAAGAATATTCCAGTTTAACTTTTCGTATTTTTTACGAATAGTTATAACGTAGTTTGGAGTAGATCTCGCGCCATCAAGGAGATCCTCTACTCGAGAGCGTCGAGAAACGTATCGAAAGATCGCGTGCGTAGGTGTCAACCGGGAAATCTACGTATACAATGGTGGGGGTGAGTAACTACGTCATACGCGTTTTTCACATAATTAGGAACGATCCATTGTGTGCAGGGGCGAAGCCAGTATTTGAGATTCGGGGCCCGAAATCTTTTTCGTTTGCTATAAGAAAGTGAATTATATGAAATAATAGGTTGGTCACTGGAAGTACTAAAATATTCACGTTTGGTCACTAAAAGAATTTTTTTCCATTCATAGTCACCGAAAGTGTTAACATTTCCCGGTTGGTAACTCTCCGTTAGTCTCCGTCCGTCTCCGTTAATAGCAAAGTCTGTTATCTGCTGACATGGCTAACAATGTCGCCCAATCAGCTTTATTTAACAAAAAAAAAAGAGACCCGACCCACCAAGTCAATTTTACCTGCCACGTCAGATTCGCCTAACCCAACACGTGAACCCAACCCATAACACGGTCAACCTCGCAACTGTTTGATTTTTTATTCTATGACACGGTTTGATTTTTGCGTCAACTTCGCAACTTCACGGTGATGTCGAATCACTCGACCCTCTAACCCAGTCATCAATTTCATCAAACATTAAGTCCCTCGAGACATTGTTTGTCACTGAACTGTGTCGTTTCTCTCCTCTTGCAACATTGTCGAGGTCGCAGTTAAAATAATTGAGATATAAAATAATTGAAATCAAAAGGTACGGTTAATAGCATTTTATGCCCCTCTACTATTGCAAGGTAACAAACGTGCCCTTTTATTATTTTTTTCGCACAAACATACCCTTCTATTATCAAAACGTAACAAGCTTAACCTTCTGTTAATTTCTCCATCCATTGACCGTTAAAGGGAGTGTGAAGTGACTATTTTGCCCCTTCCTTTTCACTTATTAATTATTTTCAGCATAAATAGAAAAACAACACAACAATAATAACAAATTTTGTTTTTAAAGATAAACTCCACAAAACCTCCGTTCACTTTTAAAAGCAACACGGAGAAGAGATTCAATCACTTACCATTTCCACTAGGAAGGAGATGCAGCTCGATGAACTGGTAGTCGTCGTCGAGCTACTGCGGCGGCGGCGGCAGCGAGAAGTGCCCGTCGTTCGAGTTCGCAAGGGTGAGGTCATTCGGAAGGAAAAAGATCGTCTGAAAGCCTAAATCTGGTTGCAATCTGACAATTTGTTTATTGAAATGAAGAGAGAATAAATACAAGAGGTTCAACCATAGAAATCGGCCAAGAAACAACTACCCAAACTACTCTCCTAACAATCAGCAACCACTAAACCAAGCAACAGCTGAAGATCAGCACTCTGTTTGCTCGATAGGTTGTTCACAACGGATACTGACCAAACTGACATAACTAAATAAAACAAGTACCAAAACACAACTATCCAAACGCTGCAGTTTCACTAAACTTCAGTCTTCATAAAGAGCCGCTCCAATCCTTCTCCGCAAGGGATTCGGATTACTTCCTCTTCTAGCTTCCAAACCAGGTCCAACAGATCCTCCCCTGAACTGAAGCAGGTTTGTTTGCTTCAGTTCACCTCTTTGCTTGCAGCTTCGAACTATGACAGATCCACCATTCCAAGTTCAGTTCTTAGCAGTTGATAGGTCTCAGTCTTAAGCCCCTTAGTCATGATATCTGCAATCTGCTCATGGGTTCTGCAGTGTTCCAGCTCCACAATTCCTTCAGCAGCCAACTCTCTGAGAAAGTGGAATCGAATGTCGATGTGCTTGCTTCTGCCATGAAGCACAGGATTTTTGGAAAGCTTGATGGCAGAGCTGTTGTCACACATAATCTTCGTGGCTCCAGTGACACTTTCCTTCCATCCAATTTGCTCCAGAATCCTTCTCATCCACACACATTGAGCTGCACAAAATGAGGCTGCTACAAATTCTGCCTCTGTGGTTGACAAAGTAACCACAGGTTGCTTCTTGGAGGCCCATGACACCACTCCACCTGCAAGGAAAAAGGTGTATCCACTAGTGCTTTTCCTGTCATCAACATCACCTGCATAATCACTATCAGTGAAGCCAAGTAGCTGAGCCTCTTCACTTCTTCTCTTGTACCAGACCCCCATGCTTAAGGTTCCTTTGAGATATCAAATCACCATCTTGGCAGCCAACATATGCTGCCTAGTAGGAGTTTCCATATACCTGCTAAGAAGACAAACCACATACATAAGATCAGGCCTGGTTGCTGTGGCATACAGCAGGCTGCCAATCAGCCTTTTGTACTCAGTAGGATTGACTGGAAATCCATCTCCTGCTCTGGTCATCTTCATTCCTGGTGCTAGGGGATTCAATACAGAGTTGCAGGCTTCCCGTTTGAAGTTGCTCAGTACATCTTTAATGTACTTTTGCTGGCAAATGAAGATCCCAGCATCATTCTGAATAACTTCAACCCCCAGAAAAAACCTCATTTTCCCGAGATCAGTCATCTCAAACTCAGCCTTCATGGATTCTTTGAATTCATTCATTAGCCTGGAACTGTTTCCTGTGTATAACAAATCATCCACATACAGGCTAACAACTAAGATCTTCTCCCCCTCTTTCCTAGTGAACAGTGTATGTTCATATGGACTTCTCTCAAATCCAGACTTCAGGAAATGAGTTTCATTGTAGTCTATGAAATGCTGCAAAAGCTAACAGAATCCTTATAGTATCCCATCTAGCAACAGGAGCAAATACCTCATTGTAGTCTATGCCTTGCTTTTGTGTGAATCCCTTCACCACCAGTCTGGCTTTGTATTTATCAACTGTCCCATCTTACTTATACTTGGTTTTGAATATCCATTTGAGGCCAATTGGAACTACTCCTTCTGGAATCTTTGTTAGCATCCATGTCTTGTTCTTTAATATGGAAGCTATTTCCTCATTCATTGCTTTTCTCCACTTAGGATCAGCCACTGCT